GAAGAGTACACAGCACCCACGGAGCGTAACTCCCTCTTCCCTTTCCTATCCTCACAGCACCCCACCCGCACGTGCCAGGCCCACCCCGCCTCTCACTCCCGTCGTGGTCCAGGTTGCCCTGAGTGGAGCCCTCGGTCTTCTGTGCCTGGAATATTGCCCTCCGTCTTCCAAGACGCCCATCAGAACAGCTCCTCTCCACTCAGCTGTTTTTAATTGTTTAACACATCTGAGATTCTAGACACACTATTGTTATTTAAATTTCTACTTAGTCCTTTAACTTCTTATGGAGGAAAACTTTAACCTGCCCAAACGGAAAGAGCACCTGAGTGAACCCCATGCACCCATCACTCAGCTTCAACAAGCACCAGCTTATGGCCACTCTTGTTTCCCTGCCCTCCCCCACTGCCAATTTTTTAAAAAAGTCCCAGACATCCTGTCATGTCATCTGTAGGCATGTCCGTGTATATCTCTAAAAGAAAAGAGCTCTTTCCTAAAGCATGACTGCCATACCATCATCACATTAAAAGCCAAATGAACCATTATTTCCTAAGCACATCAAATATCCACTCAGGGTCCAAGGTCCCATGATTGAGTCATAATTTTGCTTTTAGATCAGTCTGTTTGAACCAGCACCCAAACCAGCCCACCCACCAGCCTTTTCTTATTCATCCTAATCTCAGTTTAGATACCATTTCCTCTTGACAGCTTCCCCAATCCCAAATGCTGGGTTTGTGCCCCTCATCTGCTCACCCGTGGCACTTGTGCCACCACTCGGTAACCTGCATCCCTGGTTTGCATCCTGAGACAGACTGTAAATTACCCAAGAACACGTCCGGTGCCTCGCGCAGCGCCCGGGGAACAGTAGGCGCCAACTCTGTGTTGAACGAATATTAACGAGTGAGCTCCCAAGCAGGACTGGTTCTCCTGGTCCCCCCAGGCCCATTCTGTAACATGCTCCACGTTCAGTACAGTGACTTGCTCGGAAGTCTGTTTCCCCAGAGAGTAGAGACTTCATCTGGGGATCCCGGACGGCTAGCCCAGCACCTGACACCGGGAGGGGTTGGATTTTCTACTCCAAGTTCTATCTGTATGACTCTGGGTTCACAGTCTTTCCTCTCTGGGTCTCACTTCTCTTGTCTCTCTAATGAAGTGTTTGGATTCATGATTCCAGGGGCTTAGTTTGTGATGCTGAGTAGGAGCCCGGCCTTGTGGGGTGTCCCCATTTGCCATACACTTGCTGCCCTCTGCTGGCAGGACTGGCTCAGGATTCCTCTGTCCCCAGTTTTCCTGCAGGCCAGCAAAACAAGGTCCAGAGGGGTGGACTGGAGTACAAGTGGGTAGGGGCTTTAATTGCATTGCCTTGCCTGGGTCTGGTTCAAACGTGGAGGCCTGAGCCTCCCCCAACCTCATCCATGTGTATCTTGAGCCCAAAGCTTAGAAGCACCATGAAAAACTCATGAGGGGAAACATAGAGGACAACTCGACTTTGTAATACAGATTTCCCTTGGCCTGTCTTTAAAAGTTCTCTTTCAGATGTTGACAGCTTCCCAGCCAGACCATTTTGTCTGAGGAACCAACAGCATTGACTCGTTAGGGACAGTACTTCCAGATCTGGTTTCTTTCTCTTTTTGAGACATAGTTCTAAATTTTGGTAGTTTCCTTTTTTAGATTTTTTTTTTTTTACATTTCTGCATTTGTTAAGACCCCTCCGGTTGCAAATAACAGAATTCAGCTGTCACTAACTTAAGCCAAAGATGAGAACTTGCTGGAAGGGGACTGAGATGCCACCACCTACAGGGCTACTTGCCAGGAGCAGACAGCTAACAGGACACCAGGAAACGGTCTCTGCCCTCTGCCTCTGCTCTCTGCACATCTCATTCATGGCTTCTTTCTCATGGCCAATGGGTGTTTTCTGCTCATTAATCCACAAGGCAGAATGTGGTCACCAACAGATCATGACTCACCTGTGCTCAGCTTCCACCTGCTGGAGAAAAATGCCATTTTCCTCTGCCTCTGATCCAAATTTCCAGACCGATGCCCTCGCATCAGGGGCCCCTTCTCGGACCAATCAAATGTGGCCTGCAGGGCTGACTATATAATCTGCTGGACCTGATGCAAAATGAAAAAAGCAGGGGAAGGTGCCATTAACGGTACATGTAAAGGTTCTTCCTTTCTTCTGCCATCTCGTAAATTATTATGGTGTTTTAAATCTTCTATTTAATGTTACTATAAGTAAAGAAAACTGAACTTTTTAATTAATTTAGCATGAATTTTAACACTCGTCTCTGTATCATGAAATGCCAGTTTTAAATGTTAATATCAGAGCATTTAACTCACATGCAGAATCACTGAAATTATGTAATTTGTATTTTGAGACTCATGAGCCAGAAGAGACAAACGCAAACCAAACTTGAAGACAAGCGGGAAGAGAGAGTGCACCAGGCTCCCCTGGGGCGTGGGAGCACTGGGTGGGCTGAGCCAGGCCCTCGCTGGTACCCAGGGGCTCTGTCCCCCTCCTGCCAGCCACCAGGCCCGTGCACACGGCGCAGCTGCAGCAGGGTCTAGGGAAGTTGCGCCAGGCATCTCCCCTTCCCACAGGCCCATCCCCCAAACCCACAGTAGGCTGCGACCCCCAAAGTTATTTAAACCTTTGCCAGGACACATGTGGTACCTGGGCCAGGGGTGGGCAGAGGCTTGCCTGGGCCAACACACAGCCACAGTGCTGCCAGCCTGGGGCAGGAACCGACGACACCGTGCCTGCCCCGAGATGCCTCAGGGTGAAAGCATCCCATCCCTCCCCTCCCTGTGCCTGAGCCCAGACCCCGGCCAGGGGAGGAGGACAACAGTTGTCAAAGGACAAGGCAGAGAGGGACGGCCGCGCTGCGCCCAGGGCACCAGAGGCAGAAGAGCAGGCAGCCGAGAACACGGCCTCGGGAGGCAGCCAAGGTGGGACCACTCGTGGGCAAGGCTCCAAGCTCCCAGTGCACGCTCCACTGCCCCATCAGATTCCATTCCCCAAACACAGATTCAAAGATACGACGATTAAGAATCTCCAGATGGCAACCACAGAGCACTGAACCCCAAGCACAGGGTCCCTCTCATTAGTTGCATGTTTACCAAGCCGGTCCTGGTGGCCTGGGATGGAGGTGGAAGTGTGGGGTCAAGAGATAACCTTCTGAAGGGACAGTTCCCAGAAATGAAGACAGAGAGCTCTGGAAAAACCAGTCATTTTCTTTTAGGGGGGGGGGTGGGTGGTAATTAGATTGATTTAATTATTTTCTAATGGAGGTACTGGGGATCAAACCCAGGACCCTGTGCATGCTTAGCACATGCTCTATCACTGAGCTATACCCTCCCCACCGTCTTCATTTTTTTATTACAGAGTAGAAATACTTCCCTTGTACTTCAAATTAATGAACATTAGACTGCACATGTTTTCTGCAGCCTGACTTAGGCTGCATCATACTGAATGGCTCTACTCTGATAGATGAGCTAAGACATTTACCATGGACGTCAAGACTCCACATGTCCTGTCCCATCACTCTCCCCTCTGCCCTTTCTGTCCCCGCTCTGCTCCAGCCAGCCGGCCTCCTTGTCTTCCCCTAGAGCACAGACCTCGTGCCCCCAGGCCCTGTGCCCTTGCTCCTGCCAGCCCTCTCTCATGGGGACGGCTTTTTGGCCCCACTCCAGAGTTTCTGTTCTGTTCTGGCGTGTGATGTGGCCCAAGGATGTGCATTTCTCGGGTGACCTTGATGCTCCCATCCAGAGGGCTCTCTCTTACAACCACTGGTTTAGCTCCCACAAGGGGCAGCCTTATGTTCAGCTGCTGCAGGCTTGTGAATGGCTCTCTCTGGGTGGACGGGGCCTGCAGAATGGACTTGCCACAGGTGCTGCCCCCTGCTGTCCTGGGAGGGGGAGGACAGGAAAAAGCAAGCCTCCCAGTTTGACGCCTCCTCTTTGATTAGCGTTAACTATCTGAAAAAACCAGCGAGGCTGTCACCTATCAAGCAGGGAACTCCCTCCAGCTCTCCAGAGAGTAGGGAGAGAGGACTGGAGGATTTGGGGGAAAATCCTTCCTCAGAAACCAGCAGAGCAGCTAATAAGCGTCCATAACCCTCCCCGAACTACAGGTGGGCCCGCATCCAGCTTCCCCACTCACCGTCTCCTCCTCAGGCCGTGGGGCGAGGGCCAGAGAAGGGCAGTGTCGCCCCAGTGGGAGTTGTCTAGGCGGGGCCGGGGTCCCCAACACCGGGTCATGGAGATGTGCTTCTGCACACCTTCACCCCTACCATCTCATTGCCTTTTTCCAGCTTTCTCTAATCTAATGGGTGACAATGGAAAACTCATGGTTTTAATTTGTATTTTTCCATCACAGTAACTCGTATTTGTTCTTCTGTCTTGTGCCTCTTCATATCCTTTGACCTTTTTTCTGGTGAGTTTCTTTCCTTACTAATTTATCATAGCTCTGGTTTTTTGTTACTATTGATCCTTTATAGACGTGGCTTTGTTGTTGTTGTTGCTATTTCTTTGTCTTTTAACTTTATGATGTGCCAATGACTGCCATGTGACAACCTTCTTGAGCCTCAGTTTTGTCATCTAAGAGATGGGAGAATAACTTTCCCCTTGGTTTGCTGGAGGGTTAAATAAGGGAGTGTGTACGATACACAGCCTGCAGCACCATCAACTCTCAATAAATGTTAGCGATGCAGCAGCTCCCACTGTTTTATGACAGACTTCTCTCTCCAACACTCAAAGACCCCAAGTCCCGGGCCCAGCCTACTTGTCTGATAATGGACAGCACCATGAAACAAGCACAACAGAATATACAGAATATTCTGCACAGCAGAGCATGCGAGTGCTGGTCCAGTGCAATTTGGGTGATACCACTTTTCATTCTGTGGGGGGTTTCCACTTAAGCGTTTGCAAAAGTTGGAAAAGGCAGAATGCTGTGTGACTTGATCTAACACATCATCCTTCTTTGGTCACCACCCCTCCATCAGCCGACCCCTGAGTACCGCAGCCTCCAGGAAGGCCTGCCCTACCTGGACATGGTGATTGCAGAGACCTTGAGGATGTACCCACCAGCCTTCAGGTAAGCCTGCAGTGCCCCACGCCCCCCCCTCCCACTGCCTCGCGCCCCAGGGCCCCTTCAGCTTCACTGTTTGGGGTCCTTGTTAGCCCTCAGTCTGTTGCCACCTGCGTTATGAAGAATGCTGGGCTCAAGTTCCTGGAGAGCAAGGTCTGAGTCTTGGGTTTTTATATCCCCTGGGACACCAGACCTCATGCCTTCCATGTGGTAACCACAGCGATAAATGTCCAGCCCATATTCCTATGTTAGCTATCCTTTTAAAGCATCACTGGTCTTAATGTGACCTTCCTTCCCAGCCCAAGCCAATCTTTTTGGCCTCCTAGCCTTAGATAGCTTTTGCTACCCCCTGCCTTGTTCATTCATTCATTCAGTAACTATTTATTGAGGATCTACGCTGTGCCAAGTACTGGGAAATCAGCCAAGACACTTAAAATGCCTGCCCTTGGAGTTGACATTCCGGGGGTGGGGGGCCCATCCGAGGCCTGGGATGCACCTTCTGACTCTCCAACGATCCACACCTGTCCCGTCCTCGGAGCTCCAACCCAAGACTCACCACGCTACGAAGTCTGACTCAGCCAGGCCTCGCCTGTTCCTCCCTGCCTCTCCTCCCCGGCACTTTTCACGCTAACTAGACTTCATATCATATTTTTGGACACTTCTCAAGCGCCCTGCAACGTTTCACCAATGTGCATCCAGTCACACCAACCTGCAGATAACAGGCATCAGGTCTTCTGCTTCTTTTGAACTCCGCCCCTAAACGAGGTGTTACCGAGCCAGGCTCGTTTGCCCCACGCACGGCAGGCCAAGCGCTGAGACGCTGAGGTTTGCAGCGGAGAAAAGATTTATTCACGGGCGAGGAGACGAGAGGACAAATCTCAAACCTGCCTTCCCTGCGGCAAGGGGTTCGGGGTCCTGTGGGGTCTGTGCCGAGGTGTGGGGGGCGTGGGGAAAGGTAGTGACCGGAGACAGCAGAAAAGTGAGGCAACCGTAGCTCTGCGCAGGCGCAGCTGGGCCGCGGGCGCCTCCCCAGGCTGCAGGCCGCGGGAATGGCGGGGTCAGCGCGCTCTCAGGGTGGAGTTCGGGGCCCTCTGACGTCAGAAGGTCACCGAGCGGACACTCGCGCATGCCCCGTTGGAGGCTCGGTGGTCTTAACTGGTACAACTGGACCCAGCTGACTCCTGGAAAACGACTCGGGCAAACACCTCATTGATTAGGCTACCTGACGCTTGGGGGACACGCAGGGGTTTTCGTGGCAACAATTAAAGCGCGCTTGATCGGTGAAGGCAAGTTTCATGGATCTGACTGGTGGTTACCCTCGGTTTCAGAGGCATCCCATGAGCACAGGGTCTTAACTTGGGTCCCCAATCCCTGAGAGAGTTGCCAGTTTTCAGGTTCTAGACACAAAAGCAACACAAAGCATTAAACTGTATCTCATAAATTCCACCCTGCATCTCTATGGATTAATGTACCACATAAACCATATGGAGGTGCCTTTTGCCATTTTAAAAAGAGAAAACGTGGATGATTTGAAGGTATCTCAAAATTATATTCCAAACCAAAAATATAGAGAGTGCAATTGTAGATATTGTCCAAAACGTCCAGGCTCAGAGCAAATATAGAACATTCCAGGGGTGCGAGTCAAATCACATCATCCTCACGCACACATGGTTTCAGTCTCCTGGTCCGGGAGCAGACAGAAACGCCAGGGCTCGCCTCATTGCTCTCCTGATGCCAGCGTTAAGACCTGATTCCACAGGCCCGCGCTGACTTCCTTGAGAGCCTCAGAGCAAACTGTCATCCAATCTTTGTTTTTTAATGATTTATATCCAGCTTCCTTCCTAGGGAACTGTGGGCAGCTGCTCTACACGTGAAGTTCAAAGTAAGACATTCAGCGATAAAACAGAACAAAGGCTGTGTAAAGGAAAGAAGCCTTTACGGGACCCCGGAGGTGGCGATAGCTGGGGTCAGGCTTGGATGCTGAGGCTCCTGGCAGAGAGGGAAGCCAGCTGAGCTGAACAGGCACGTTCTCTAGTGGGAGGAAAGTATATAAACTGATCAAAGACACATCATTTCCTAGAAGTAAACTCAATCAAGACTTCATCACATGAGACCTTGTATAAATGACGTGTTGAGTCGACCAAGTGGACAGTCTTCAACACCAAACTTCTGCGGCCAGTTCTCCTGACCCTCTATAAACAGCAAAGTGTAAAAGGAAGTCAGGGAAGGCTTTGCTCTGGTGGGGGCCAGGATGCTGGTGATCTCACCTGAGGGCAGGACAGAAACCAGAACATCTGGATGAATTTGTTAAAATTCCCACTATAGAGATATATAGAGCCTGTGCCTCGTGATGACAGAACGAGTCTAGACAGAAAGTCAGGACAATTTCAGTCCTGCCCTTAGTTTACTGTGTGATGTTGGGTAAGTTATGTACTGCTCTGGGCTTCTGTTTCCTACGTGTTCAGTGGGCACGCAACACCTGCTCCGTCTACCCTGGACGTGCTGGGAGGGTCAGTGGGAGAGCTGATGTGGACACTCAGTGTTCCTGCAGGCGGCATGCTGTGTAAGGTCTGAAGTGAAGAGCCAGAAACGCTGGGCTTGGAGGTGCACTGCCTGCTCCCATCTGGCTCCAGCCATGCTCTCTGGCCTGGCCTTCCACCACACCTGCTCCACTGATGTTTTTAATCGTATTACTCCGCTGGCTTCTGTTAACAAACGACAGAAGTGGGAGAGGCAAGTCGTCATCATTCTCACCCAGATAAGAGCCTGATTTGCTTTGGCCCAGGCTTAGGATTTGGGGTTGAATGCAGGGAGGGTGAGAACTTTATCTTTTTTATTTGACTTTATTTTATTATTTTAATCTCAGAAAAGTGTGTTGGCTTTTTCCAAGCATGGACACACTTGACTCTTATCGATAAAAAAACTTGAAATGGACTTTGTGGAAAACATAACAATTCTTGTTAAGGTGTTGTTAATGTGAATCCAGGAATCTATGCAATATAATTCTGACCCTGCATGCAACCTAGTCTGGTCAGACAGGAGGCCCAACCACGTATAGAAGGGAAAGCCCTGTTTTCTGGCTTTCAGCAGGGTTTGCATCCAGGTCCAGCTATTTTTGATAAAGACGAAAAAGGAGGAAGTCAGGTTATCGCCTTATTTGATCCCACAAAACTGAAGTTGCCCACATTGGAGACCCCACCTGCACTGATTTGAGCGAGGCTGTTTTGCGACCAGTTCCAAGCACATAATAATTGCATTAGAAGCTTAGGATCTGAATGGGGGTCCCACGGGTCTGGCCTTTCACGTTCCTGATGTATTAAAGGCTCATAACAGAGTGATGAATGCTGCAAGGAGCCACGGTTTACTCTTAATTTCTTTTATAAGTAGAACCAGGGTGTAACAGTAATTAGTGTAATAACTATCTCCTCTGAGATATTTAGGAAAACCCAGCTGTGTAACCTGAAGTAAAGCCAGCACAGATTATTTTTAACTTTTAAATAATTATTTATATTACCAGAATAATATACTTTTACTTAAAAAAAAAAACCTAAGAAAAGCAGTTTTCAAAGAAAAATTTGGCACCCTGGTCCCCTACCGCTCTTCACCCCGGCCCCATCCCTTAGAGGAGCTAATAGAAGTTTAGGCATTCTCCCATAAACTTTATGTTTATATACAAACATATATAGTCTAGCCTTTTAAAATAAAACAGAAGTGGGATTATGTCATTGCCATTTGGTAAAATAAACAATCTGACACAGACAATGAAGGGGAACAGATTTTCAAACCCAAATTTCCTGTAGGGAAAGGGAAGGGATGGCCGAGGGCAATCTGGAGAGGCTCCAGTGGGAATGAAGGTGAAGGAAAGTGTGGCTGGGGGAGTGACCTGCAATGCCCTCACTGGAAGTAAGCCCTTCCGAGGCACCTGTGCACCCCAACACCTGGCATAGGGCAGGCTCTTCAGACCTGATGGGCAGCAAAAGGAAGGGATGGATGAACCCAGAGACTGCAGCGTCCTGGGCAGCGGAGGGTTGATGGTGGGGGCAGGTGGGGTGGGGTGTCGGTTGCCTTCCGGGTCACCCTGAGAAGAAGACTGGACCTCCTGGTCCCCAGCCTCATTCCACACTGCAGACTCAGACCCCCTTTGCCCACACCCTCGAGCTCTCCAACTTGTCTCTGCTCTGCCTCGCAGTGGGGGTGACCCATGTGTCCCCACAGGTTCACACGGGAGGCGCTGCAGGACTGCGAAGTGCTGGGGCAGCACATCCCCGCCGGCACCGTGGTGGAGACGGCTGTGGGCGCCCTGCACCATGACCCCAAGTACTGGCCGAGCCCTGAGACCTTCGACCCTGAGAGGTGAGTACTGCTCCTTCAAACAGGCCCTGAAGAGACATGAGGGTGGATTGGAGGCAGCTGCCAGGAGACACAGATTTAGTAGACTGTTTAGACTGTTGTCCCCAAACAGTCAAAAATCATGGCAATGAGAGATATTTTCAAGACATAATTTCCAAAGGAAATAATTGTACCATTTTTAAAAACCCCAAACATAATCCAGAGATTTAGCATTTCCCCAGCACTGCATGCAAGTAACAAGGCAATTTCAAATGGGTGTCCACTATTCGTTCAAGCCAAGAAACAGGACACATTTCAGGAACGCACTGAGAAGTAGCAGAACATCATTTCCTTTTTAAAAAATAGATGCCTGTCCCAAAACAAGAGTACCAAGTTCCTCCAGGAATTCGTGAGATCCAGTGATGCTATCATGGTAGACCCGGATCCCCTTCCTGTCCCCTGCATGGATCTGATTCATTGTCTAAATTTCATTTCTAGACTCAATTTAAAATGTCTGAGCATCTACAGCTCCTCCTTTCCAGAGCTGGTGGACATCCCTTCCTGGTGTGATCTGGCAGGTGGGGGCTGGCCAGGCAGCAGCTGTGTTTCCAGCTGTGTTAGTGGCTCCAACTTCCTGTTAATGCGGCTCCATCTCTACAACCCAGTCAATGGGAAACCGTGGGCGGTGGGACCTAGATAAATAACTCTTACTGCACACAGCTCCTGAATTATGGTAAAGATCAAGGGACATAAGTAGCACCTACAGGGCTTACAGCATCACCTTTGAAAACAAAAAGTGCATTAATGTGATGTTGAAAGGTGGGTTGAGGGCTTCTTGGACCCATTAAAGTCCAGAGGGAGCAATAAGTGAGCTGCCTATCACAAAATAGGGGTTGTCACTTAGCGTTACTGTCCCAGAACACATGTGGCAAATGCTGTCATTTTGGCAGCAGATAACAGCAATTGAATCTGAAGGGCTTCCGGTGAGTCAAATAATGCCACCCCTAGGGGTTCAAGTTTCACTGCTTGAACCAGAAAAGCGAGTTTGGGCAGGGAGGCAGCTGCCCAGCACAGCATCAAGAGGCAAACTGGCAGGACGTGGCCTCCAGAGAGGGCTGGGGCTTAGGGACTCTGCTTGCGAAGTGGATGATGGCTGGCTGGATGGGTCACCCTCTGGCCGCGATGAAGTTGGAGCCATGGGTGAAGCGAGGGCTGTGGTTTCTTTGAGACTTTCATCCTGGGTTGTAGTGAGCCTGCAGCCTCACTGACAACACAGTGAATTCCAAGGAGAGGTAGAGAGGGCAGCGTTGATGTTCACATTCCAGTGATTCTTTTAATTCAGCAGTGCCTTTAGGGTCCTCCAGGACAGGAGGAGGGGAGCGGGCTGAAGCACGTGGATTAGCGGTCACCAGCTGGTAGGGGCTAACAGGGCCGAGGAAACAGGATCCTGCAGACCTCGGTGGGATTTCAGCCTTACATGTAGGAACGTGGCCTCAGATGACAGGGTCTCTCAGTCCAAACAAGTGGCTGAAGCCCCGGGAAGGGAGGCGATGTCCTGGGCCCACCCTGACAGCCCTGCCCTGCAGGTTCACGGCCGAGGCCCAGCGGAGCCGGCGGCCCTTCACATACCTGCCGTTTGGGGCGGGTCCCCGGAGCTGCCTGGGGGTGCGGCTGGGGCTCCTAGAGGTCAAGTTGACGCTGTTCCATGTCCTGCGCAAGTTCCGGTTTGAAGCCTGTCCCGAGACTCAGGTAAGCCCACTGCTCCAGGCACCGGGCACGCCCACCCCACTTCCCTGCAGCCCCCTGTGCAGGATGGGGCAGGTCTAGACCACACCGTTTCCTGGGTGTCTGAACTCTGACGACATCTGACAGGCCACCAGCCCCAGCACTAAGGCCCGGTGACTCTTCTTCCTTCTAAAGGGCTCATGGTAGCCACCGAACAGTCCTTTCACATGCAGCTCACGAGGACACCCTGCTTCTTGTGTAATTCTGTAGCTTTTTGTCCAAGCCTTCAGTCCACCATTGACCTGCCTCTAAGCTGGACGGAAGGAAAGCTCTCCCTGAATGGCCACAAGAAGCCCTCTCGCCAAGCCACTCAGAAAGAGGGGCTGCCAGTTACTGGCTGGGCACCAGGGTGGGCGATGGGGGAGAAGAGGAAGGCCTGAGGCTTTGCTCACCACTGTACAGTCACGTGCCCTTGGGCAAGTCGCCTGGCCTCTCTGGACCTCCATTTCTTCATTTGCAAAGTGCGCTGCTCCCACCTCCTACAAAGGCTTGTTAGAAGGATGACTGTGGGACTCCTCCCCTGCAGTGTCTTATTAACACAGGGCAGGGGGAGCCCCAGTCCAACTCCCGCCCCGAGACGAGGCTCCGCTGCTTCTCCAGGCCCTGCTGGCGAGGTTGCTCCCCAGGCCCTTTGCTCGCTCCCAGCCCTGCTCTCCCTCAGCTGAATTCCCACAACCCTGCTTCACGCCCTGTTCAGAGGGAAGTTTTCCTGTAGATAACGTTACCTGTAACAAATGTTTTAACTTCCTCTATTTTAGATACCACTGCAGCTAGAATCCAAATCTGCCCTCGGTCCCAAAAACGGCGTCTACGTCAAGATCATCTCCCGCTGACACAGTCAGGTGTTAGCATCACCACCCCTAATACAAAGATGACCCAACCCTCATGTGGAAATTCGGATTTCTGGAAAAACAAAACAGCAATTGAAAGGGTGCCTGGTATGTGAGTAAAAAAGAGTCCATTTATGTGACATTTCCTAAATGCTTAATAAACGTTTGTTTGTTGCACTTAGTTTTGACTTTGCCAATTGTGGCTGAACCAGACCACCACTCTCAATAAAGTATTGCTGATAAGTAAGTGAAAACGTAGTTTCAACAAAACAACTGAGAACTTGGGGATTTGGAAGAAGTTCTGGCTTCAGGATGGAATGAATCTATAGGGCAGGGCACACAGGGACAGTTGGGCAAGTGGTCCTGGTGTCCCCAGCTCGGGGGGCTTTTCAGCCCTTGGTGCGTTGTGGTGTTTGACTTAGAGACTGACGTTCATCAGAAGCTCAACCTCAAAAGTGGTTTAAACGCTTCATTGTGCTTTGACTTTCCTAGCTAGGGTATTACCAACTTTATACATTTCAGTGCACAGAAAAGTGATCAATGAGATGCGCTTTTTCTTGGAAAAAGCATTGTATCTTTTCTTAATTTTGAACAAAGAATCAAAATAGAAAGGTGACTTTTAGTAAAGGTAATTATTGTGTTGCTGAGAAGTTCAAAATTCAACAAAGAACCTGCAAACTGAATCCCAGATCTGCTGCCAGCAGCTGTGGGGTCCTGGTTGCTGGTCTTTCCGCCTCTGTGCCTCAGTTTCCTCACCTGTAAAACAAGGAGGCTGATCAAGGTCTAGCCCCTTCCTCTTTTAACGACTGAGCAGCGCTAAGGAGCTGAATGTTGTACAAATAAATAACAGAGCAGGAATCTGTGACCATGGATGCGATGCCCAGAGGCTGACCCACCTTTAGAAAGTGGAGGCTGTTCCAGGAGAGCTGGCGAAACCGGTGTCCCCATATCCAGTGCTGTGAATGCTGCTTCTGCTGTTTGTCTTCCCTGCCTCCAGCCCAGAGCACTCCATGTTTGTTTCCATGGAGAGCCCCCATCTCTCTCTGGCCTCTTGTAAAGTAAGAAGGCACCCTTGTTCCCCAGCAGTGCCCCAGCGCTAGGAGCTGCCCATCCTCTGACAGGTCCCACCAGCCCATCACAGCCCCCTCCACACCCTTGGTGTCACCACCTGCTCATTTTCGTGGCCCAGCTGCTCGAGATGCTCAGCCCTAGGCTCAGACTCACAGGAGGCAACCACGCATTCCCACTCCTGACTGCCCCATCCATCATCCCTAACCCCTGCCTCTCCCCCATGGCCATCACAGAACCTCACCCTGCAGAAGGGCCCAGCTGAGCACCTGGCTCCCTGCTCAGAGAGCAGCTCTGCTCTCCTGCACCCCAAGCCCATCAGCTCCACTGGCTTCCCTCACCTTCTCCATCCAGGTGGTCACCATCTTCAGACACAGAGCTGAAGCTTCCTGATGTACCAGAGCTGCTGGACCCCAGTCCTTGCCCCGTCCTAACCTACAATCTCTAGCTCTGCTGAAGTCCCACCATTCACGCCCAACGCCAACTAACATGGGGCAGGAAATGGCACTGACTGGGCCTCCACGAAATCCTTGAGCTGTATCCCAAAGGGGTCCTCAAGGCTATTTCTTTTCAGTCACACACACACACACACACACACACACACACACACACACTCTGGATCCCACTACCTCTTTGCATGAAAATTCTGAGGTCATCTTGACGTCTTCCTGTCACCATGCCCACCCCCTACTCCTGTGCCCATAGGAACAGCTACGCTCCACTCCCACCCACGACCTAGCCACATGGACCCCGTTCCTTTCTCAAATTTCCAGCCCAGGGAGTTGCTCTTCCCAACGTGCTTTCTCAAAGGTCAGCAAGTCCAGAGGCCTCTACAGTCTTCACAGCTCACTTGACTTTTCTGGAGCATCTGGTCACCTCCCATCCCGAGTTCCTCTTGCCATTCTCCCCACCCACATTCCCCAGTGGATCATTCCTGCTGCTTCTCACTACTCAGCTCCGAGCAGCTAGATGGTTAAAAAGCAAGGGCTCAGCTCATTTACAGTTAAGACTTAGCAGGCAAGCACCTGACAGTGGTTCTCTGACACCCCTCTGCCCCCCGCCTACATGTAGGTGTAGGTCTAACAACTTAAAGCAATGAATGAAACTTTAGGGTGTGGGGGAAATATGTGGGGGCTCTGAAAACCATGCATACACAGAGCATGCATACAACTGGATGAAGAGCCCCGCTGGGGGTAAAGTAGCATTGCTGATGCTTCATTTTTCTGGTCACTAAACTCAGTTCCCCATCTTGATGAGCTAGGCTCTGCAAGATTTCAGATCACCCCCTCCCACTGTTCCAAAGATGAAAAAACTAAACAGCTTTGGATCTAAGAACTACAGGACAAACCTGAAGCAGAGGCAGCTCATGGAGGGTGGACACCCAGGATCAAGAGGCTGGGAGGCAGACACAAAGGGTGCAGGGGAGGAGAGAACACGGTGCTGAGGGCTGAACCCAGGGGCCAACAGGTTCAGGCACCCAGCAGGGGACAGACAGCCTCATAAGGGGGAGCTACCCTGCCAGCCCCTTTACCCTTGAGGCCAGAGGCAGCCAATGCCACACAGAGACCCCCACCGACCACTGTGTGTGGAGGACACACAGAACACATCCACCCCCTCTGTGTCCACAACACACTCTGCTCAATAGTGGATCTGAGTTTTGCAGGGCTTGAAATCTGAGTTAAAGGAAAGAAAAAAATACAAATATATAACTTTTGCCAATTTAATCAATGTGTATGATTACTTAGCCATACAGCAGGGGTCCCCCTGAGGACCAGGCAAGGGGCCCCAGCAACTAGTGGGCTTCACCATAAATCCACACACAGCCTCCTCGAGGCCAGTAATGGGAGCTCTGTTATATCTCGACACCCAGGAAAATGCCTGTACCCAGCAGGTGCTCCGTAAACAGACCCTGAAGAATTCCAAGGACACCCACGTCAGATAAATACTCTTTTATTCCCATACTCTGTTGTGACATTTGCAGCACAGGTATTGAGATCTCATGGGACATAAAGCCCTAACTCAGGGGGTGTTCAGTGCAGATGAAGGGACAGGCATTCAAGGGCTTAGCCCGGGTGCACGGGGGAAGGAAGCCACTCATCCATGTCACCTGTTGGGGGAATGTGCTTCCTGAGTGAGGCTGACCCCTGCCAGGACTGAGGGAAACCGACAGGGACTCAGTGACACCACACAGTAGCCATTTGTTTTAACGACATGACATATGGGCAACTCCAAGGCCAGAAGCCCAGGAGAAGTGGGAGAGCTGCCTAGGCTGGAGAAACAGCAACAGACATGACGGCTGTGCCCCCCACCCCCGGCCCACAACACAGGACTTCCTGCACCAGTGGCTGCTGTGTCATCCTGACAAAACTAAAACAAGACCCTGAAAAGCCAAATCACTGAAGAGACAAAGTCTTGAAATTTAAAACCAATCCATCAAACAGCATCTGGAAACTCTGTGGCTGATGCCACTCTGCAGCAAAGTCAACAGAGAGTAAAAACTAAAATTTTAACACCCCAGTAAAAAGCAGTAATGGGTTCGCCTACAGTCACTACCAGTGAACCCACCAGCGAGCCCAAAAGTGACTTAAAAGTGCAAACATTATCAACCAGAGATTAAGAATGTAACTTCATCAAGAAGTCAATATTAAAGGAACAGTTCATTAAAAGTTTTTCCTTAAAAAAACAAAAAAATTAAAAGAACAAAAACCCCAACTCTCCCAAATGGTCATTTCAAGTAAGATAAGCCTGACAGGCATAAAACAGCGGGGTGCTCACTGCCGGCCGCCGAAGAAAGACGCGAAGGAGAGGAGGCTGGAGGCCGAGGCCACGGGCTTGGTGGAGGTGGTGTACTGGATGACGTACTCCGGGTAGACCTGGTGCTTCTCAAAGACCACGAAGATGGAGGGGTCGGACATACTGTTCACGCAGCTGTCGTACAAGATGTTGCCCTGGCCCTCCTTGGCCGGGGGGCGGACAAAGGAGGGGTTGCCTCGGACGAACTCGCCCACCAGCACCCGGGCCAGGAACATGGTGTGGGAAGTCGTGTTGGATTTGCTGTAGTGGTGGGAATACGCGGCGTCCCGGGCAAAGTAGCTTCCTGCAAGGACACACGGGCTCAGCTGGGCACCAGGGGACCACCCGCAGCCCCAAGAGGCGGCACTGGCACCCTGCAAACTGGGCAAGGCCAGTGGCCTCTGCCCCCACCTCCCATTTTTCCAGCCTTTCCCTCGTAGAGGGCATCAGAGAGGACACAAACGCAGAGGGAAAACTCCTTTCAAGTTAGGATCAGTCACTCAACTCCTCAAGGTGTCTGGCCATCTCTCTAGTGAATCCCTCCAAAGCACACCCCCAAACCTCAGTCTCCTCAGCTGTAAAAAGGGGGCTGTCATGCCCAGCCTCACAGGCTAGTGTGAAGAGTGGCTGAGACCCCACACACAGGACACTCAGCAGACACTGGCCGCCCACTGTATAGATTTATGAACCTTGTCAAATGGGAACCTGAGTTGGAAGCTGCCACGTATACATTCATATTTATAGCCTACCACTGGCTCTCGCCCACCTTGACCCCACAGCCACCAGCATGTGGGACTGACACTAACTGATAGATGTGGCATAGGGACCGCTGGTTACAAGTCACATCATTACCAGAGTCTTTCAATTTAGTAGCCACGTCGTGGTCATAGAAGACAAGGTCCTTGTTCTCAGGAGGTGTTCAAGGAGAGAGGGGGATGATAGATGCCACCTCCTTCCACATGGTTCCAAAAAATAGAGAAGGGGTGATAAGCCAGTGTGAAAGTGTTACAGCGGGTGAGCCAGGTAAAATTTACATGCGAGTTCTTATTTTTGCACCTTTCATGTCAGCTTGAAATTATTTCAAATAAAATTTAAAAATAACTAAGAGACAGAGAAACAGGTAACTCCCATTACTGCGAGAATGACCTATTTATACAAGCATATCCGAGCGGTCAGGTTTCTATTCTCAGGAAACAGCATAGGCAGAGTCGAGGACCTGCCTCAGGGCTGGGAAGGCAGCCCCTTTCCTCTCCGCACTCCCACAGGGACGCAGGCTCTCAGGGAAGCAAACCCCCAGCCTAAGCAGTGCTGCCTCTGCTC